GCCGAACCGCGAGTGGACCACTCTTTGCGCAGGTCATACAAGCGCCGACCTAACTCGGCGATTTGTTGTGGTTTGTGTAAGGAATCCACATCTGACGGTATTTGTGTGCTCTACTACACCACACTATCGGTAGAAAACAAGAACAGATACCTTGATTTCGCTCTATCGACATTAAACAACTGCAAGCGTTTGCTGTTTTCCATCTCGATTGCCTTTGTCTGAGTCACAGTGAAATACTAGAGCAAATACCACGTCAGTCTTAAAGGCTACTGCTGTTCTAGAACCTGACCGAAAGATTTCTTTGGTTAGCCCTCGGTTCACAGAGGATAAGGTGGCAAGAAACGTATTTAAGTGGAACAATATCATCAAGTATCTAATGTTTTTCAAATTTCCGAGTTTTTATTAAAATAGAATGTTAACTTTTAAGAAAGTAAGTTACTATAGGTATTTATTATCGAACATAGTACTATTACTATTAGAAATATCATATGATAATTTGGTTGCCATTAGCCCCTGGTATTGAGTCCCAAAACCGACGGTGTTTATGGTATTTACTCCTATACGCTTCAGCACGACACTGTCGGACTTGGTCACAAACGACGCAAGGGTACCTGCATTGTTCGAGTTGAAAGAGGAGGATCTCAGGGACTTACAGGCTAACGGAAGGTGTGGGGGGGGCTGGAGTAAACGTGGTGTCCTTCAAGTAAAGTGAGTCTTCAAGATCAAGTTTTAACTCATGCGAACAGCTGGAGCGACCCAAGGCTCGATTAGTATCTCGCGGGCTCTCACAGAGATTTTTCATCGATGTCGAGGAGGCATACTCGCCAGTGCTAAGAACTACGAGTGTACGATTTCTGATCGCGTTAGCTGCACAGTGGGGACGCCGCGTCAGGCAGGGTGACGTCCCTAATGCCTATGTGAAGGCAAACCTCGATCGGCCAATCCTGATTTTAAAAAGCCTTCAAAGGAACTTTATGCTCCAAGGACACGAAAGGGCTGTATGAGCTGAGCCAGAGCGGACGGCACTGGAATAATAAGATCAGCAACTTCCTGACACATTGCTAAACTTCGCACGAAATAAAGTGGATCCACGCCTGTATACTCGCCGGTCGAATTGGGAACCTTACTTTACTTGGTCTGTACATGGACGGCGTTATTATGGTAAGTAAAGATGATGCTGACAGCGACTGAGACATGTACTAACTAGAAAAGTAGTTCGACATCGGGTGGCATTAATGCAACGTTATATAGCCCTATTACAATTTCACGACGTCGTTTAGCGCAACGCTAGCGACGTTAAGCCGATTTTTACTGGTTTATCGGTGTTTTAAATGTAACAATAGGATCAAGTTAGACGACAGATTTTCACCAAAATAGAGACTATCGTTACCCTGACATAGCAAGCATTTAAAACTGCCCCTACTTTTCTCTTACTACAAATCTCACAATCTACTTAGCGACGATAAAGGACAGCGCAGGCGCTGTTCCAGCGCGGGTGACGAAGGGACATCCAGACCACTGTCGGCCTCACACCTTGTGCAACTGCTTGCTTGTTCTTGAGGCCAAGATATGGCAGCGATTCAGGAGAAATTAGTGGAGATGGAGGAGTACACGCGCAAGCTGGCGGGAGTCCAGGGCGAGCTTTAAGGCCTGCTGGACCAAGAAATGTGCGAGCGAGCTGATCTCCCTATCGTTTTAAGAGGCATCTTTGGGCGACGAATACGTTCCCTCGCTGTCAGTACTCCTGGCCGAATTCTGCAAGACGATGCAAGACAAGTATGCCCGCTATAGTCAAGTTACCGTTGCTCCGATATAGCGTTGCTTTTCTAACGTTGCCGAATGTTAGCGTCGTTCGTATATAACGTAGTCTAAAAAAAAACGTTATTCTTCTTAGTCGATAGTATAGTGAGCTTCTTTGCAGCGATCATCAAGCGAGCACAAAGCGCCTACGCAGATTTTATTGCAGAGTGATCTCGACGCATTGGACGGCGAACATAGCAAGATGTCCCCTCGGGACGTTCCAAACGCATTAGGAGCGCTCAGCGACGCCCAACTTGTCGGATGCAGCCGCAGAGTAGTCAGCGTCCACCCACCCAAACTCAAGCTGTCCAAGTTTAAGCCCGTCCTGCTCAAGCTTCAGTCAATGTTATTGACTTGTTTCATGAGAGCGTTAATGATTTATCAAACGATTCGCACCAAGATTAGGATGCCAACATTCAGAAAATACGAGTTGAAGTTTGATGTGACATTTGTAACAGTCACTACATTTCACTTAGTTCTAAAAAAAATTCTTACTTCCTTTTCCGAAAGCACTGGCCAACTGCCTCCCTATCTGTTTAGCTTATTCCTTCTTGGGCAGGGTCATGGCGTGATCTGGATAAGATAATCATCAACCTCAGCCGCATCACTTTAATAACGTCTCTCGTTACAGCATCGGCCTTGAACCCACATCAGCCATAGATGAAAGCGTATGACATTGCCGCGACCATGACACCGCAGCTGTATTCATCCATCTGGGCCGGCGACACTAACCATTCAATGTCCACGTGTGTCGGAAACGGGTGTTCTTCTTGGCATGTCCCTTCGCATTCCCACTGAGAACGTTATTCTCGTAGATATAGCTTACTCGTCCATATTTTCTCCATATCTGATCTGTCAGATGCGGTACATAGCGGATCGTACCATCTCTGTACACCGCTACCACTATGCGCGACCAGTGGCATCCCTCGATGTTGACGGGCAGAACGATTATTTTCATCGAGAAGAACTTTGATCGCGGTGGAGACGGAAACTTCTCCTGCCGACCACAATCGACGACAGTGCCTGAACGTCTATTTAGCTGGATGTGATCACGTCCAAAGCGTACTTCAACACGGCATCGTTCAGCCACGCACGATTCGCAACATACCCTACCCCTTCCTTAAAGTAAATACCCCGCATACGGGTTTGTGGTAGAATGTAGTGCGCAGACACACTGTATCAAAAACCGCATTGACATCAGAGGCTAGATGGGCTAGCGTATGCTTTGATCCAGCTGCTGGCTTACCCGACGAATCCATCTCGTCAGCAAAAAAACTCAACGGGGCGTCCCGGCACCTTCGCCAAATCCTGATTTATCCAGTCCTGGTCTCTTTCCCACATTTTGCAATTTTTCATGACTCTGTAAAAAGGCTTCGTTATGTGTACGCATTCACTACAATAACAAAAGGAAACGGTAGTTAGCAGATGATACAATAACGTTGCTCTAACAACGTTACCGCCCATCTAGCAACGTTAGCTTCCGACGTTACCGTGAAAATTGTTCCAGCTGTGACGTCACCCATACCGCGAGCGTGTTATCGTATGCAGAGCGGGGCGTTCAAGTGAGATCCACCACCGCCTGCATCTCTCCTCTGGTCGCTCGGTCATCATTTTGTCCAATCTCGTAGTTATTCAGTGCAGCTTGCAGTGAGACTATCAAGTCTTCCGGAATCACGTAGCTATAGCAGTACGATGGTGCAGCCAACTGGGTCACCTCTCTGACGCGACGAACGCGGCCACGCAATGTTTGCTCATTCTTTATATACGGATACTTTTCCAATATATCAGAAACGGCGTTCAACCCCGCTGTAGGTTGCACCCATTTAACGATATCCGTCACTTTTGTCGCCAGTCCAGTCGAATAGGCTATTGCGATGTACCGAGCTTGAGCAGCAACAATCGACCGGCTTTGTCCCAATTTCTTTCAGGTCTCGCCTCAACGTGGGTGCGGAATGTTGAATCTTACTCCTGTCCGCTTTGTGTCAAGGCTGTTTTCATTCCCTGACTGCACTTCGTTGGACATGCGATTGCTTAGTTTTCTTGTCCAGGTTCAGATGTACTCGAAGTCGCAATAATGCGCTGCGAGGATTCGGATAGGTACAGGTCGCCAAGAGAAACTTGTGATAAAGAGGCATCTTCGAACTCGGTGTACGCCGATTGCAAAAGTTGATAAGAGCATCTCCGCTGCTGTAATGTCGCCGTCATTTGCAAGATCGGCCATCGATTTGGATGGTTCTCGGTATTTTAACGTTGCTGCATCTAATAACATTGCAGATGAGGGCGACGTTAAGGAGTTGAGCGACATTGTAGACCCTAAGGCTGTGTTGCTGGATAGTTGGCCTCCCCTGTGTTGTAAACGGCATCCACTGTCAGCTCCATTTCCTCCACCAGCGTCACCGTGTCATGATAATCGGCGATGTCCAAGTTGGAGTTCGCCTCCTCTGCACAAGTGTCTCTGTGACTTCATCCGTAGCGTACCGGTAGGGTGCACAGATTTCTTTACAAGATGTTGCCATTTCTCTAGGGCTTTGTAGAATGCGGCGCTAGATAAACTTTGTAAAGGCTTTCAACGAGGCTTAAGCATGTTTTTTTCCATGACATACTTCTCATCAGACGACAGAACTACTACATTCCAGCTTTCCCGGTGCCGGAGAAGGATGTAGGCTACTCGAGACTTGGAAGCTGGTTTGGCCGTGATGCCATTAACGTCGCTATCGCCATCTAACGTTGCAGGCGTTATTCAGATTAAGGTCGACGCTAATGAATTGCGGGAACACGCAACGTGCTTCAACTTAACGGTGCTTGCGACTGCTTCAATTGATGCCGTTCCATCCTCCAGTTGGAGATATAATTTGGTGGCCTCAGCCATGCTCCACCGAGAACAAAGCGTCATACTTGGTAATTCCTCGAACCCATGTCTATCCCGGCAAACAAACATCACATGCTGACACGGCCCCATTCGACTTTTTGAAAAGGCACACGTGCAAGTCCAGTCAATATCATTGCACGCGAACGTCTTTCCGTTTGCAACTATGTGCCACATCTACGGCTCGCTGCTGCGCTTTTCGCACAAAGTGTCCGTTAATGCAACCATGAACAGGTCCCATTGCTGCCGAACTTTCCCAAGCACATAATCACTCAAGCGACCTGCGACCCGGCGCAAAAACACAGGTACTGGGTCTGGGTTTCTTGATCTACAGTTATGTCTGTGGAAGACTGTGACACATGACGGGTGATGTTAGCATGGTGGGTCAACACTCCAGCAACCGCTTGGTCCACAGCAGGCTTCTTTCCAAGTAGCTTTTTCAAAAGGTGTCAATGGGACTCGATCCGATTTGTGGTAGTGTTCCCCGCGGATAAATAGTTGTCCCGCAAATAGTTCGACCACATTTCTTGACATCCTTTCCAATTTTTGTTAAAGTAGGAGCGGACGTTTCTGCATTTATTTTCATAGAATGCACAGAACTGCTTGTACGTTCGTTCGAAGTCAGAAAGAGAAGGGCTACCAAAACGAAAACGTAACAAAGTCAGAATATTAAACAATAACGTTGCTATAAACCAATAATTTCTCTTATACCTATACAACATCGTTACGAAGTATCGCTGTACAGTGTCTTGGTTCGTCACCTGCAAGCCTAAGCCACTTTGCACCATCTTTTTCCAATACGTGATAGCATGGAATTGGCACAGGAGGACCTTCGCATGAGGAAAGCAGTCCTCCAGAACGCTCCACTCGACGAAGTCCTTGTCAGTTATGACAGTCCGGATTATCATCCGAGAGGCGTTCTTGCTTTTGAAGAACTCAAAAGCTTCTGCAGAGTCACAGCCTTCTAGTTTAACGCCATAAAATCGAGAACAGGAAAGCCTGGCCAGTCGGGGGGGTCTCAACAAGGCTCCCATTACGAAATGTAAACAAAGCAAGGTAGTAAGTATTGCTCTAAAAGGAAATGTAAGCGATTAACAGTGAGAGAATATACGGTACTCAGATAATACCCGACGTTGTTGGTATCGTGCGTCCAGTCCATTGCCAATGCGTCCCCCCAATTCTCGAGCGCTAATGTCTGTTGAGCACTTTGATGATTATACCACGGGTAACGCCAAATTGATCCTCAATAACCATGGTCTCGCATTTTTTTTCTTCTGCAAGTGTGTCGAGCAACTCGTCAACCTCAATTCAGCGGTGCTTCGACCTTGAAGTTTTTTAACGAAGTTTCTGACCACTTGAGAAGTGACATGACAATTCCAAAACAATTAGATATGTATATTAAAGCGTTCTGCACTGAAACCTACGCATCCAGCTTCTCACTCATGTACCCAGCTATTTTGCTGGACGTGGTGCTGCTGTCATGCATTGCAGCCACTGTATCAACAACACCGCCGCTGTTTGGTAGGTCCTTCATATCAGCTGTAGCGGCCGCTTCCTCAGACGAATGATTGTGCATGCGCCACTAACTGTGAACAATGAGGCGATGACGTGGGAGCTCACCAGCCGAAGCCACGTTCATGAGCTCGAGGTCAAACCCCGGACAACCGGTGAAGTTCACGGTGGCGTTATTTTTACCCACGCCGCGACGCTTTTGAAAGACACTTTGCTTGCACCGGTACTTGTGGAACTGGGTCGCCCTAATGTTCGCTTTGTATTTCCTAGATAACAGCGTCACAATTAATAAAACGTTAATGACCACAATTAAAGCATCGTACCAATTGTACTCGTCAACGTCCTTAGACGTGCGAGCGCGATAGTAGACGCGCTGCGTACAGCAGTATTCTGCAAACGCAACTTCCCAAGACTTCCAGGTTGCGTAGCCTCTCCTGGTTTTCCACATTGGTGTGAGCGGCAATCATCTTCTCTCGCTCCTTCTTCGTGTTGCTGGTGCGCACTCGTGATTGCGTTGGCTCAGCAAAGGAAGGTCCGGGGGTAGTTCCTCGTCGCTACTCTCCTCCCTCTTGCTCTTCTTAATGCAGGTCTCACTCTTCTCCTCATCCTCACAAGTTGATGAAGTGCTTCTGTCGATTTCATGGGGCGAGTACAGACGGAGCCTTTTCTTCGACTGCGAAGGGGGACCGGCTTTTGATGGGCTGCACTTTCGTTTGGTCTTAACCGCCACAAACATCGATTTCAATAGCAACGTTAAAGCAGAGCCTCGCAAGCATAAAGCAACGCTAAGACACAACATGCACTACCCTTGGCTTGACGTCCAGCGTTTCCGCGCACCTGGTCGCCAGTGTTGCCTTGGCAACACAATCAAGATTCCGTGCGCGGAGAAGCACCGTTCACGCCACCAGCATACATGCAACCAGCCGCAATATCGGCAGGCTCTAGCAAAGGTTTATTGATTACATGGGGTAAGTAACGTTAGAATATAGCGATATTAACATGAAACAACGTTAAAATTTTAGAAACGTTGTTCTCTTTAACATGACGCACCGCTGTCGCCCCCCTACCATTCGCACATCCCTTGTTTGCAACGTCCGTGCTTGCCGGGCCCTCGATCACGGAGTTGCCGCGCTTGTCGCTATCACACTTGTCGCCAGACAACTGTCGTGCACGTGGATCTATATAAACAACCAAACAATCACAACCGCACTGTTAACGACCCAACGATAACCATAGGCGAGGGTCAAAAGCAGTTTCGCAGCACCCACCCTCGTAACCTCGATCATCTTTACCCTCCGAGGCACCTCCAACGGTCGGGTCATCTTCGTTTCCGCCCTCGCGGACTGCCTCACACACAACCTCAAAGTAGACACCTGCGTCGTCGCGAAACGCTGTCGCGTATTTGTCTGGGTTATCCACTCAATTTAAAAAGACAAAACGTTAATAAAATAATTCAAATCGATGCAACGTTAGGCTCCAGCAATGTTATTAAAAGTACGATACAAACCTGGGTCTTTACCGGCCTATTCATCACCTTGACGCGCACCCTTGTCACCTCCACCAACGTTGCCTATCGAGGCGTCTTCGAGCGTCATATCTTCTGCGTCTCTGTCCTCACACACACTCTTGTCATTATCACCTACGTTGCCGCCAAAATCTGGCACCGTTTTGGCTATGTTATTCACACAATATATGATAGCGTTAGTAAAGCAACACTGAAAGAAAGCAACGTTAAATTTAAGTAACGTTAACATCAAGTACGATACGAACTGGGGTCCTTACGGGTGACCTCTTCATTGACATGACGTGCCGCCGGCACAAGTTGGTCCACGCATGCGCCAGGAGCATTTCTGGCGACAGTGGTGTCGCTTCCTTACCACCCGCGAGAGCACGCTATCGACGACCTTCGCTAGCACCCATATCGCCTTTCGGATACTATCTATAGGGTAACAATGAAAAAGGTTAGATGAAGAAGAATTTGGATACACACGCGATACCCGAACCGTTGTCCGCCGCTTCTACTGCGGGTTTGATTTCGATAACCGACCCCGTACGAATGCTAGCGGCATTGGAACTGTCGCTTGAGTGGCGCTCACTATCGTGAGCTAAATTTCATCCTGTGTTAACATAAAAAGGTTTATCGAACTATCGCACAGCATTTACTGGACTGGGCGGGGTCCCAGCAAGCTGACCACCTTCTTCTTGGGCGCTCATTACCGTATCCGCAGGCCGGTTCTCTCCGTCGTTGTCGCGTAAGGTGCTCCGCCATGTGTCGTGCTCGCGCTTTCTCCCCATTGTTGAAAATGAGCGTCATAGATCTGGTACTTAGGAAAATTAATTGCAATTTATACCGATACTCTACCGGTTAATTTCTCCAGGCTAAAATTTGTTGTCGGTTTTGTCCGTGAATTTCACAATAAGCCGGACGACGTTAATTCGGCTTAAATCAGGTATTGTACCTTTCTGCCAAGATGCCCTAGGATTTTGGGCCCTACGTAGGATATCCGCTCCTACGTAGGGTCCCATTAAAACTACCCTGGAGCCAGTAATGTTTTGGCAGTAACATAAAATGGGAAGCCAATTAAAGTTCATAGTTTTCAGTGAGACACAGCGCTTTCTTCTAGCCTTGCAATTGTCGTTTTACAGTATGATACTAAGAACTCAAGAGAGCTGTAATTTTGAGATCTTATGGGGCTAACGCCAGGGCGAACTCTGCTTGAAGTCATTTGAGCTCTGCATACCTGTATCACCGTTCTATCCATATCAACCAGGCCGCTTGCGAAGGGCCTACTCAGGACGCAATAACCAGCGAAAATTGGTTCGGACTTTATTGTTGGAATGGACTCTCCCCAATTCCATAAGTAGGTAGGTCCTTTTACAAAAGTAGGTAGAAATACACACGGTTACCGCGTGGTGCATTGTCACTCTCTGATTGGATAACAGTAAACAATTATAGCCAGTCAAGAGTCAACCTGCCAATGAGTGGTTCTCATAGGTCTAGGGCTCCCCCTCTATTCCTAACTTAAATCAAAGTCTATTTTACGAAGAGCTAAGTCTAACTTGCTTGCGAGCTTCCTCGCCGCTACGTGCGCGCTAGTGACGGTGAAAACATAGCCCGTTACACCTGGTAGCACTTCGTAGTCCTTCCAACGACCGAGGCCAAGACCAATATACAGCACTGCTTGACTTCCGCCTCCACCGGAACAACTATGGAGCACGAAAACGTTTTCCACCGCCTCGGGGCAGTGTCCGGAAAAGTTGTGGTGGTGTCGCTGCTCAGCCCAGCGTCTTCCGAACAGCAACGTCAAACCACTAAAGCGTTTTTGGAGCGAGAACTCGCTGAAGCCAAGCAGCGAGGACAGACTCCCTCACGCTGCAGGAATAACGCCATCAAGATGGAAACCTCGACTGTGACGGGTACACACAGCACCTTGCGCTAGAGGAAGTTGGCTTCCGAGAGCTTACAAACCCTCAGTGAGCAGTAGTTCACAGGTCCCTTTTGTCGAAGGAGGCGAAGTGACCAATTTAAGGTAAGTTGAAAACTGAATATTTTATAGGTAGGCTGAGCTTGAGTTAAAGTTACAAACTTTAAGTCACCTATAGAAAAGCTATGTCGTCAGCCAATGGTTGGCCTCGGACGACCCTGGTACCATGTACCAGATATCTCGATGTGTGACGTGTCACACCTCATGTAACTAGGGGTATACTTGGGGCTATGTATCCCGTTACATCCTCCCCCATTTAGGTTCGGCTTACGGACTAATCAGAATGAGGAAGTGTACGTCACAAACTTTCATTCTCAAAGTCGAAATACACCGACTTGGCTGCGCGAGGGCGGCGGAGGCTCACTTTACAGTTACAGCCTCGAGCACCGGTTGAGCGCTCTTCTTCTCGGTCTCCACATCGACATTTAGCATGCCCCACGGCACTGCGAAGAGTGGTGCAAAAACACGCTCCAAGGCTGCTGCCGGAAAGGCGCAAGCTAAGAGCACTAAGCCACGTGGGAAAGGCTCTGCATTTGAGGAGGCTACTAAGGTGGCCTCGAAGACGATCGAAACATCTGGTGACGCGGCTGTATGGAAGCTAGCGAGCCAGCGCCGCAGTCCGTCACCTTCGGTCTCTATAGACAAACGGCCGAACCCGCGGTTCGCTGAACCTAAGTTCTAATCGGACAGTGAGGACGAGGTCGAGTCCGGGAGCACTCAAAATTGCCCTGTAGGCTCCTTGGGAGGGTACACCCCAGTGCCCAGCAAGCATGACGACGACAGCGTGCACTCGCTCGCTAGTGATCACGGTGATCACAGTCCCAGGACGTATATGCGCTCTGCGAGTCCTGCCAGCAAGGCTAAGGGGACGACGAGGAGGAGAAACCTCTCAAACATCTCTCGCTTGCCGAGGGTCTCGCGCGTGCTAAGTCCGCCAAAGCCGAAGCCGCCAAGCCTTTTCACAGCTTCAAAGTCGCCACTCCGCGAGAGAAAGGAGACTGGATACTCTAATCGGAATCTCTTCAGTTCCTCGGATGAAGAGAAAGAGGAGGAGGAGGGTGCTAGTCATGAGCCCCGGGAAATTACGAATGACCTCGACTAGCAGTAGGAGGACTTCGAAGCTGCCCAGCGCATGGGTGGGGGTCCGTGGTGGCACCCATCAACCAGGGAGCTGCCAACAACTCAAGCGGTTATTAACCTCCCGAGGTGAGCCCTGGGGCTGACCTCTTCCTGTAGGTCCTCGTCGTTTCTCGTGGGCTTGTCGGTGGCCACCCTTCTAAGGGCGTTTCCGAACGTGCCCTGGTTCAGAAGGAACAGTTGCTCGTCGACAGCTTGGAAGCGGCCCGGTGCGTGCTTCCGATCCGCACCGAATCTTTCTGAAGGACTTCCAATAACCGGGGTGGTCTCTACCCTCTGGGGTTACCCCTGGGTTCTTCCCGAGAACTGTCCCAACTGGACCTCGTGTGAGGACATAATCTGAGCCCCGGATGGGTCTCTTAAGTACTAACCATCGGAGTTATGGAAACGCCATGAAGATCAGGTGCTGGCTCGCATCCTGGACCAGCGCGATCTTCGTGTTCGGTTCACCCACTTGGTCAGCTAGTATATGCTGCCAAGGGGCATTCTGAAGAGCGTCGCTTCTAGCGCTCACGACACTCCGTACCCGGAGTGTCGGTAACGTCCATACCCCGTTCGGGGAAGAAGCCCGGACTACTTCCCAGATTGCGAAAACCTTCGGGCAGTCTATCAGGAGCCGCTCAATCGGCTCCCACGAGTTCTCGAAGTGGGCATAACCTCTCCACTTCACAAGGATTTGTCGTTTACCGGGACGCCGTTGCACCTGGAGAATCCGCTCCACGTGGCAGTGGCCTTATCCATTCCGGTCAAGCAAGGGCGGAGGTGCCCTCGTACGAGTACGAGTTCTCGTCACATCCGGAACGCTACAATCATCCGAGTGCTTCGT